GCGCGAGTGACCGGTAAGATGTCGCTAGGTGACCTACCGTCGCAACGAGAATGGACATTAACGTGGTGCGACGGTTTGCGTACCTCATTGACCCATTGAGCTATACTGGGTGATGCCTCCGGGCACCTTGAGAGCTACTCCTACCAGGTTGGTCAATGGTGATACAGACAAACCCAGTCTCCTGGTACGTCAGGTTGAGGGTTTGAAATGGGGTGGGGTACTTTTCTGTAAAATTAAATCATTGCTACCCCGTTGCCTTGCGGAGAGGCTTTTGAGTCAAAGGCTTTGGATGAGAACCCTAATCGCCCTCCTGTCTAGGTCTCGGCGCCCTGGTAGTATCTCAGCCCACATACACCCATGAAATTTTCTGCTAACATAAACTTCCTAAGGCATGGGCCGTCGTGCATATTATCAAGGGTCGTCTTATCTGCTGCATATAGCAACGCGGATAAGCGAAAACATGCTACTGCTAACGCCTCCATTTCCACCTGTTTCTCTTACTCCTATCCCGACTCTCATTCCCGACCAACCTTACATTATTCCCAGCGTAACTGACATCAATCGAACTGCCATTGGAGTCACAGCATCTGTAGCCACCTCACGACACGCACCGGACGCCTATCAACAACGGGCCAGTTTTCACAGCGACGTACAACGTTCGCACTATAAGACAAGTAGCTCAACAGGCTGCACTCGCACGCACCTTGGACACACTGGTTATTGAGGTGTGTTATATGTCCAAAACCAGGATAAATGATCCCAATGGGGTTGTTGAACCAACTACACCCGGTTTATCCTCTTGTTATTGTTTGCACGCAGTCGGTGAGGCCGATGCAACACTCATGTGTCAAGCTGATGTAGAGGTCCTTCTAAGCTCCAAGACCGAGCCGTCGTTTGTTGCTTGGATTCTGGTGAACAGCCGTGGTGAGCAGCCCGTTTGACGACGTCAGCTAAGGTGGATTCACGAAGTAGTACAAAACGCTGTTTGTTTGTGACTTCCGCTTATGCTCCCACCGACGGCAGTTCTAATACCATCAAAGACATTCTATCACGAACTGAACGCGCTACTACGCAATGCTACTATTTGAGCATCCGCTCGTGGCACTATCAATCGTCACCACACCAGTCACTGGATATCCGAGAAGTCGGTGAACCAGTTTGAATCCAGAAGAAACCTCCCGGCGGGCTCTGAGCACAATGTGACCAGACGGGCTATTAGGCGCGAACTAACGCGGAGCCTACGTGTTGACAAGGAAGCCTGGTGGACCAGTAGGGCTCAAGGAATGGAGGAGGCAGGAGCAGTCGGCAATTACCGCAAGGTATTCCAGCTGATACGCAACACTGGTCCCAAGAAATCAGCCGTCAGTGAGATAACCAAAGACAGCTCGGGTGCACTGATACACAATAAGGAGCGCCGTATGGCTTGTTGGGCGGAACACTTTCAAGATCAGTTCAGCTGGCCCCCTGCTCCCTGACCTCTTCTTACTTAAGTGATTCAGGATGAGCCATGGACGGTTAGTTTGGAGCCTCCGTCTGAGGCCGAGGTCCGAAACGCGATCACAGCCCTCAATCGTTTTCGTGCCGCTAGTCCGGATTCCTTCCCAAGTGCACTATTTAACGATGGAGGTGAGGTCATCTGCAAGACACTGACCTCCCTATTCGAATCTATCTGGAAAGAAGTGTTCCGACTAATTGGAGCGATTCGTTTATAGTGGCAATATACAAGAACGGCAGTTGCACAGACTGTGCTAACCACAGGGGTATTAGCCGACCGCTAGTATTGACAAAATTACTGGCCTCGATTCTCCTTCTTCGCCTCACTGCGGAACGGGAATCTCGGATTAGGGAAGAGCAATCCGGTTCCCGCCCAGGACGTGGCTGTATAGACCATATATTCACTTTGCGGCAGGTGCTAGAGCTGCGCCACGCATACCGCAGACTGACAATAACTGTTCCTCGATTTCAAGAGTGCGTTCGATTCAGTCGATCGATGCATTCTGTTCGAAACACTTGTGCGGAAAGGTGTTCCCACGAAATATGTGAACATTCTACGTGCTCTATACTCGAACACTGCAGGCCGCGTCAGGGTCTACGGTAACCTGTCAGATAGCTTTCGGACCGCAGGTGACATTTGTCAGGGTTGTCCGATTTCCCTGTTTGTTGTTCAATTTCGTCGTGGACTCTATCATGAAGTGTTTCCTCACGATGTAGGCGTTGATGTGTTGCCTGATGAAGGTTGGTTGATCTTGATTATGCGGACGCTATCATCTTGCTTTTCGTCGATGTTGCGGAGGCACAATCAGCCTTGAATCGCCTGTCAAGAGTGGTCCCATTATTTGACATGCACTTCACACCTCCAAACTGCACAGTTTTGCTGCGGGACCACCAGCCACTTGCGGACCCCTTGACCCTTGCTAACGAGGAACTTGAGGTGGTTGATCAATTCACTTACCTTGACAGGTAAATCAGCAACGATGGGTGCATAGCAACTGAGGTCAGCTCACGCATTGTAAAGGCCAGAGCTGCCTTCTTGAACCTGCGGCATCTTTGGTGACAGAATGCAGTTTCCTTCCTCCTGAAAGACCGTGTATACAAGGCCACAGTAAGGACCGTCCTACACTATGGGAGTGAGACTTGGTCCCTTCGGTCTGAAGATCAGAGGTGCATTGAAGGCCTTAATCATCGTTGTCTGCGAAGCATTACTGGTGTCGAGTGGCACCAGCGTGTCCGCAACGATGTGCGTAGGCGAGTACTAGGTAGTGATAATCATGTTAGTTTCCTTGAACAACAGACAGCACTGAAAAAGTTGCAATGGCTCAGGCACGTGCTACGTATGTCTGGTCACCGCTTACCTAGGAGCGCCTTGTTTAGTCTGCCAGGTGTAGGGTGGTGCTGAGATCGAGGTGGACTGAAGTTTACTTGTCAGCGGGAAATGAAGTCACTGACGACCAAACTAGGTGCCGTGGGTCCGCCTCGCGTTCCGGGCTGGAGCCTACGTGACTCGCCTTGTGCGTGGTTCAAGTGTTTACGGTAGCGCGTCTGCTGCCGTCTAGTCGGACTGCTTGTTTAAAGTGTATTTGGTGCCGTGTTATCTGCGGGGTAATGACTGATTATGACGCGGGGCAGTGAAAGCCACAAGGAAGCTGTCTCGCAAATGCCGCCTTATCTTTGCACGTCAGTCAGCTGTGTGTGACGGTATGTTATCAACACAAGGTGTAGGCGCCTTGATCCTGAATATTCGCCTAGGGCATTAAAGTTTTCAGGTAAGTTCCACTTCTCCCTCTTTTATTATTTTTTAATCCATAGGTCATCATGGTTGTATGGCAACGAAGCATGTCTTATGATGGCTAATGCACTGCTGTTGTTGATGTTGATGCTAGGTGACAGTTTTCGAGCCCCTAAGCGTCAGTGACACATTTGACGTGAGTTTCTACCACACAAAAATTTGTTTAAGTGTTGGCATACGTTTTGTGTAATACGTAATAACAAGTTGGACATCAATTTTTGATCAGTGTGGACAATTTTTGTAAGCATAAGAATCACTACCACGACATATGTCGAGACTGTGTTGGATAATTGTTTTCTGAGTTAACAGAAATCGTCAAACTCTCACACTGAGTCAGCCAAAGGCACCAAATACGGTTATTTATGACATTTCAATGGTCGTTTTAGTGGACATTTTCGGCAAATCATGTAGAATAACACATGCATATGCGAGAAATAACGTTCGCTAGCGATCAGCGGAACATTGTTGATGTTCCTGGGGGTTCCGAAGCTATTCAGCGAGCATTGGATAAGCTTTGGGACTGGTCTACTTTATGGTTACTGCCCATAAGTCAGGCAAAGTGCTCCGTTCTTCGAATTGGAGGAGGTTGTCCTCCTGCGAAGTACTTGGTCGGTGGGGTCGAACTCCCCCGTGTATCTAGCCAGCTTGACCTAGGCGTCGTACACTCTTCGGCTTTACACTCCGGCGACAACTGGAAGAAGGCCGCAAACAGAGGTTTCCGCATGTTGTGGTTAATCCGACGTTCTTTCGGAGTCTTGACGGGCGGCATCTTTACGAGGCTGTTCTCGGCTTTCGTTCGCCCTCATCTGGAATACTGCGTCCAGGCTTGTCCGCCCTGCCTCGTCCGGGACAAAATGGAGCTGGAGAGGGTTTTACGAGTGGGTACTAGGTTAGTCGAGGGATTACGGGGACGGACGTACCCCGAGCGTCTACTTAGTTTGGGAATGCATTCTATGCACTACCGAAGGCTTAGAGGAGACCTAATCCTAACCTACCGTATCTTGACTGGGAAGGTTGGTCCAGATTTATCTTGGCTATTCAGTCCCGCTAGATTGTCTGTTCTACGCGGTCATTCGTTGAAGCTGGACAAACCGCGGTCCGACCGGATTAGGGCGGAAATCCGGCTGTCACGTCGAGTTATCGACCGCTGGAACATGCTTCCGGAAAGTGTTATCAGGGAATCTACGGTTAAGGGGTTTGAGCGGCAACTTGACGCTCTTGGGTGGCAACACGAAACCTTTCCATTTTCCTGAGTAACGCATCTTCGTACTTCGATTTTCTTTCTCTACTTTTCTTCACGTATTGGTATTATTTTCTTATTTAAGTGCACTTCCCTATTCTGTACCTTCGATTTCTCTTCCTATCCTTTGCTTATTTCACGTGACTGCCAAAGCAGGGACTGCTAGGGCAGGAAACGTGGGCATTAACTGGTTGGCCAGGGTGCGATACGGGTGTTTCCGTTTTAGATCCATCAATAACTGAGCACTTCATCAATTCCTGGCTCAACGATCCCCTCAAGATGGAACACTCACGGGATTCTCCTATCGTTCCAGTCCCCATCTGAACTGAACCGAGAGCCGTGTTCGCACTTCCTTATAAAAAGGAATTAAATATATAGAGACCTAAATACATAAGTGTTTGAAAATATAACAAGCAAATGTACATAGGTTCAGAAGTTTTACAGTGTTTCAAAATGTTAAATCTATGACCTTACTTTGGCATCAGGGTATAAAGCTAGTAGTTCTTTGTAGTAAGCGCACACAGGGTGGTCAACGGCGGCAATATAGCCAGAAAATATTTCTTTGCATAGTGAAACATCAAGTCTGCCATCTGATGAGCTCGCCAATCGCTTATCAAGTTCATTCCATTTCGCAACATCGCGACTTCTCTTCTTGTATAAATCCTTCAGGTGGTAACAATTCCCTTTAAGTAAAACCTCGAGGGCGACTTTTAAGCTATTTGTACCAGTTCTGCCGAGCCCGGCTCCGATAACTATCAAGGAGTCACTATCGCCAGAATCCATGGGCTCAGGTAACGGCACAACACGTAGACAAACCCAAGCGGCACAAGGTCAGGCCGTGTCAGATTTAAGGACAAGGTCAAGTGCATGTGAGACAGAAAGGAGAGGATAATCATGTGGGTGGTTCTTCTTCGCCAAATCATTGAATAACGAGTAAGATTTATACAGAAATATGGATGTTCCTTAAACGAAATTGCGTACTACCCTAACGTAGCAGTGTAACACGCAAGCACGGAAGAACTCCAAGGGTTGAGAACGAAGTTCTATTACACAACACGTAGCCTCTACAAAAGGTAATAAACATGAGGTGAATTGGAACAAAGGAAGTTACAGTTAACCAATGTCGTGTTCTTGTTCTCCTCCTATAATGGAGCAGGAAAGGCGCTCTGAAAGGCAAACGGGAGAGAGTGCCGTTATAGCAACGATTCAACTTTGAACGCGCGCCAAAACAATATCGATTCTTCTCTACACCACACCCCATCTAAGCAGGCAGCGTCCCCGTTGCCACCCCATAGCCGCCCTGAGCCGGCACCTCCAGTTCAACTGCTACTTCCCCAGGCGTTTCGTTCGGCCCCTCGACAGATTGGTCAGTTTTACTCCGGAATGGCTTGAGTCGATTGAAATGTACTGTCATGGGTTGACTGGCAGGGTTGTTGGGATCTTTGATAACACATGTCACATCTGATATCACCCGCTGTATTATGTACGGTCCTGTCCACTCATGGTGTAGCTTAACCGGAACTCCTGCCGTTGGTACCTGGTGCAAGTAAACTTGGTCGCCAACCGTTAAAGGAGCGCCGAAAACTTTCTTGTCGTAATAGTCTTTCTGTCGTCGATGGGCGTTCCCAAGGTGAATACGTGCCGCCTGATGTGTTTGATGAAGCGAATCAAGGAGTTTGCTAACATACTCTGTCACCGATGAAGGTGGCTGTTGCGGACTGGGTAATCGGATGTCAGACGGTAATCGGACTTCTCTTCCGGTCCACATAAATGATGGTGTTTGACCAGTTGAAGCGTGCACTGTGCTTCGATATGCCAGCAAGCATTTTGGTAACATAGCGTCCTACTCACTTACGTTTTGCTCCACAAAGGCCTTCAGTAGCGAGTTCAGCGACCGGTTTGTACGCTCAACTTGTCCGTTGCCTTGCGGGTGGTAAGCAGTCGTTCGCGTCTTGTCTATACCGAACACACGACAAAGTTCCTGAACCAGCAAACTCTCGAAACATGAGCCCCTATCAGAATGTAGCTGCCCCGGTGCTCCCCAGTGACACACCCAGTGGTTTACCATCGCCGTTGCTACCGTGACTGTATCGGCTTGGGCGATCGGAACTGCTTCGCACCACTTGGTGAAATAGTCGACCATGACCAAGATGTACCGATGGCCACGTGATGTTTCTGGTAGGGGACCAACAAGATCTACTCCCACAATCTCGTTCGGGTAGCCTGCATTCATAGGCTGCAATGGTGCTCTCCTGGTGATGGTCGGGTTCTTGAATGGGACGCATGTCTCACACGTCTGGCAAAAGTTAGTGACGTCTCTCCGCTGGTGTGGCCACCAAAACCGTTGACGTGCTGCCGCTTCCAGTTTGTTGATTCCAGCATGACCCAGCTGTTCGTGCAGTTTAGATAGCACTTCGGAAACTAATGATCGCGGAACTACGATTCTTCTGATATAGTTTGGGCCAAAGTCAAACACTAACACACCTTCCTCGATAGAGAGCTTGTCCCACATCGCCCATAAGCATCGAGCTTCGTAACTTTTTCCCTCCATTTCCTTCGCGGTAGGTTTGTCGCTCCCTAATAGCCGTTTGTTATAGATCGGTGATACGTCTGGATCTGCTGCCTGTGCCTCCTGCCAACGACCGTACTCCGAACTTTGAAGGTTAACTAGAGCTACGTGTTGTGTACTACAAGACGGGCAGTCTCCATGAGCACGAGTAGGAAGTCTGGAAAGAGCCTCCGCGTTTGCTGCTGTGCACCAGGTCGGTGTCTACACTCGAAATCATACTCCTGAAGTTGTTCCTGCCATCTGGCGATCTGTCCCTCGGGGTCTCTGAAATTCTGTAACCAACGAAGTGACTGATGATCTGTTCGTACCAGAAACTTCCTTCCTAATAGGTAGTGTCGGTTTTGTTTTATAAAGAATACTAGAGCTAGCATTTCCTTTCTGGTGGTGCAGTAATTCCGTTCTCTTGCACTGAGACTTCTACTGCTGTACGACACCACTCGCTCTATTCCGTCCTGCCCTTCCCGTGAGAAAACAGCTCCAATCGCCAGGTCGCTCGCGTCCGTGTCTAGAATAGACTCCCCGGCGTTTGGTGACAGATCTGGGAAAACCAACACCGGAGCTGCACAAAGGGATTCTCGTAACCGATCGAATGAATTTCGACACTCAACGGCCCATTCGAAGGTTTTACCTTTCTGTATCAAGGTATTCAAAGGCGCAGCGATCTCTGAGAACCCTTTCACGAATCGCCGATAGTATGATGCTAACCCTAAAAAACTGCGTAGTTCATCAACGTTGGCAGGGGTTGGCCATAATCCCACTTGCTCCGTCTTACGAGGGTCAGTACGAATCCCCATCCCCGAAATGACGTGCCCAAGATACGTTACCTCGGTCTGTAGTAAATGGCACTTTGTAGGCTGGAGTTTGAGGCCCACATTTACTAGGCGTGTTAGCACCTCCGCCAAGTTGTTTAGGTGCTCGTCTTTTGTTTTTCCGTGTACAATGACATCCTCCAGGTAAAAGAGACACTTATGGGGCATCAATTCGTGTAACACTTTTTGCATCAGTCGTTGAAAAGTCGCAGGGGCGTTAGAGAGGCCAAAAGGCATGGTCTGGAACTCATAAAAACCTGATGGTACTACAAACGCCGTTTTCGCTCTGTCGCTCTCCTCCACTTCTACTTGCCAGTAGCCAGAAGCCAAATCTAACGTACTGAAATAAACTGATCTTCCCAGTGCGTCAAATAGATCATCGATCCTGGGAAGGGGAAAAGCGTCTTTTCGAGTAATCTCATTTAATCGTCTATAGTCGACACATAGGCGAAAACCACCATCCTTCTTCTTCACAAGAACAACCGGGGCTGCACATGGTGAAGTCGAGGGCCGTATTACCTCTTTTTCTATCATGTCATCTATGAGCTTTTGCAATTCAGTCTGCCAATGTAATGGTATGCGTCTTGGGGGATTTTAATCGGGATTGCATCACCGGTGTCGATACGGTGTTTCACGAGATGGGTTCGACCCAAGTCGGTACTGCGCCATGCAAATGCGTCTGAGTGGTTGCGCAACACATCTTTGAGCCGTTTCAGTGTCTGCTCATCCGTGACTTTGTCGAGTGAGCGAATAAAGGCGTTAATGTACTTCTCACTCTCTAAGGTGTCCTCATAGGTTGTAGATGCTTCCAAAGCACCATTTCCACAGGGTTTTAACAAAACTGTACAGTTATCGGTGATTAGTTGGCACCTGTCCAGATCCAATCGACACTTCAACCGGCGTAACAGATCCATCCCAACAATAACAGCAAACGGAATTTTGTCCGCAACAATAAACTCCTGGGTGAAGCTCTGTTTCGCGACGTCAACTTGTGCGGTTAGGGATCCTCGAACGGACAACAATTCTCCATTGGCGGCAGTTAGTCGGCAGCGACAAGGCGCGTATACACGTTCTGCTAGCTGGTTAGTCAAACTAGATCTGATTAGACTCTTACATGCACCTGTGTCGATGAGACCTATCAATGGAACCCCTGCGATATGTAATTCTATTGCCAATGCTGAATCGGTGGTCGACGCACAAACAATGGCTGGTATAAAGTGTGAATGCAATCGGTGCCACTCATCTGGGCGTCCGTTATTGTAGCGTGGTAGACGGCGATTCGGAATTGGTCGGCGGGGCCACCGAGAACTCTGTTGCGTTGGTCGCCATGAGCCTGAATATCTTTGCTGATAGTCAGGATGCCACGTTAACCGTTCCGTTGGTGCACGCCTGGGGCGTCCATTTCCCCTCAAAGCGAAACACCCGGGAGTCGGCGTGGTCATCGCTCTGTCGACCTGCTCAAGTTGTTCGCCAATTCGCACGGCTGCATCCAACTCCTGCGGGGGGTGAAGAAGAAATTCACGTCTAATGGATGGTGTTTGGATTCCTTCTAGGAGTTGTTCTAGTATTCGTTTATCACGGTCGCTTGATGACTCGCTCTCGTATGCGATGTCGGCCATCTTTCGGAGTTCGCGCAAGTACGTCCTAATGCTCACTCCGGGCCACTGGTACCGTGAGTGGAATTCCCTGCGTAGGGGTGCAGGTAATGCAGGAGGGTCCAGTAGGCGGCGCAAGGCAGTGAACGTCTCAGACGTGACTTCTGTTTCCAGAATTTTGCTATCAGCAACGACATCAAAAGCATCCCCTGAGAGTAAGCCGGCGAGCACGCCTGAATGTTGGTGGACCGGGAACTGCCGGAGGTAAAGCTGGACTTGTTTCTTCCATCTGGAGTACGGCATTCCGGGAGTGTAACGCTCCGGAGGTGGGATTGCATGCATACAGACTGACGAACTCGAGCCTGTAGACAATTGTTTCAAAGCACGGGACACAACATCCAGGGAAGCGGAAAGTCTGGTAGTGGGGTCAACGACATCCGAATGGCCTTCGTCATCAGACTTGTTGTTCATTTTTGCCATGATCTTCATTAGACTAATGATGGTTGATTCCTGATTCTTGAATCCTGGCAGGGTCGCCACTTTGTATCACGCAAGCACGGAAGAACTCCAAGGGTTGAGAACGAAGTTCTATTACACAACACGTAGCCTCTACAAAAGGTAATAAACATGAGGTGAATTGGAACAAAGGAAGTTACAGTTAACCAATGTCGTGTTCTTGTTCTCCTCCTATAATGGAGCAGGAAAGGCGCTCTGAAAGGCAAACGGGAGAGAGTGCCGTTATAGCAACGATTCAACTTTGAACGCGCGCCAAAACAATATCGATTCTTCTCTACAGCAGTGTCGAATTGTAGAGGGCAAACAGACATAATTGGTATGAATCATTGGGTTGTAAGTAGTAGAGGGAAGAAACATCGTCCGCACTGTCTATTCCTGTTTGGTGTGGGATGGCGGCTTGTTGTGGTGTGGCAACCTTT